AATACAGTATTCAGTACTCCTACCCAACAACACTTCTCCTAATCTACGTTTCTACTAACCGACGCTTCTCCTACTCGACGCTTCTACGCCGCGACGCTCTACATCCCGACGCCTCAGTTAAATATTTCCACACAAGCAATGCTTCCCGTATCAAACAATAATATAAAATATCAAAAATAGAAACATTAGAAACAGACAATGTATATCCAACGGTCTGTATATCCGATGGCGAGGAGTTAATAACTTTCCCAGCAACCAACAACCTAGGACAGCCATTTACATTCCTAGGAAATACAAAGCCCACTCAATGGCGCATCTTTCCACCTCCGATTTAACTGCGGTTAGGATGGAATACGCCATCAAAAGGGAAAAGAAAACGTTAATCCTGGCATCTGCATACCCTCCTTCCGATGCAACCACGCCACCGCCCAGTAAAGAAATGGAGGAACTGGGGCCCTATTCTCGAATGTCTATTTCTATATGTCACACGCGACATTGATGATATGTCGAACAAGAACGCAAAAACGTATTCTGGAATGTCGAATTCGACATTTGTTGTTAGACATAAAGTCGAGTGGTATTCAACCAGTCGACATTGAAATGTCGCATGCCTTTTTAAATATAATGTCATGAGGGTCGTGACAGTGACAGTTTATATTTATTTTTAAGAGAAATGAAAATAAGTATTGTACAAATTGTTCTTAAAAATATATGAAATGATTATTTATAATTTCACCTAAGGTCTACCGGCAAAAGACCGGTAGACCTTCGTTCAAGCTGAGGGTCTTCTTTCAGGAAGCGGGCCTCGTTCGGGCAGTGGGTCCTCGTTCGGGCAGTGGATTCTCGTTTAGGCATCGGGCCTCAATCACTGGGCCTCATTCAGTATGCCTAAGTCAGTGGGCATCAGTCTGTGGGACCTTGAGAATAAGAAATGCGAAATAACCTTTGGAAAAAGCATCAATGTGCTAAAAGGGCCTTTTTTGCTCTTCAAGGAATCGGTCCATGAAAGAGATGTAATACCTGTCATTAAGAAATTTATATAGTTATATTTTTTCAAATTGCAGGTAAAAAGATTATATCACAGACATTTTATGTAATGTTTAGATTATATTATACTGTGATAATAATATATTTCTTCTTTTTACTATTTAATCTCTTACCAAATTGTACTTCCAATTTTCTATTTAATCCCTTATGAAATTTTAGTTAGAAGATTATATTTACTCTACTTTCTAATTAGTATTTATCAAAAAGACATATTTGGGATATATTTGCAGTATTACTTTGTATAACTAAGGATCCTTCAAGTAATTGTGTGCTGTAATATACTCGTCTTGTATGTTTCTATCCAATGTTGCCAGATGTTACCATTCGCCAAATATGTCACCGATTACAAATTGTCGATTTTACTTTGAGAATATGGATAGTGTCAGTCGATCGACATTTTGATAGACATTAGTAGTAGACATTATGACGAATGCGACATTTTTAATAGACATTCGAGAATAGGACCCCTGATTGCATACTCCCTTGAACAGAAGTTTGAGCTGATAATAGGTTGCGATTCAAACGCTCATCACTTCAGTTGAGGCAGTAAGAATAACAACGCTAGAAGTAAGTCACTTTATGATTATATAATTACCAAAAATCTTTGTATTTTAAATAAAGGTACTACACCAACATTTTTAAACTCTCCCAGTCACACAGTAATATATATCACTTTATCCACAACTGGTATCTATAAGTCAATTCTAAACTGGCAAGTGTCTGATAACATTTCGATGTCAGACCACCGCTGGTTAACATTTAAAATAAACTTGATGATGCCGACCTCCACGCTATCTCGGAACCCTAGGAAGTCTGAGAGGGCAATCTATGCCCACCTTCTCCAAGAGGCTCTGAGAGAGATGGAGGCCGAAACATCAAACAATAAAAATGCTTTGGAGAAGTACTCGAACACTATCCAAAGCACAATAAACAATGCCTATAAGAAATCCTGTGCCCTGAGGCTGGTCCAACACGATCAGACGACTACCGCATGGTGGTGTCACGAGTTGGATCACCTCAGGAAGATGGCTAGGAAATCCTTTAATAAGACAAGAACCACAAAACTCAAAGAGGACTGGGATACTTACAAAGTTCACCTCAGAGAATACAAAAAATCGTCAGACAGAAACAGAGATGCATGGAGATCCTACTACAAAGAAATCGAAGCGAGGCTTCTAAAAGCACGAAAACTTCCAACCTCGAAGATAGCATCAAAACACACTTCCCTGACTCGGTCATCACAGACGTGGCCGACTGGGCAGAAGAAGAATACAATTTATCTGTCTATGATTAGCAAACTGCCAAACACATTGTAGACTATGAAAAAATTAGAAGGGCAATATCCAGCTTCTCTACATTTAAATCGCCAGGACCTGACGGTACCTATCCAGCCCTACTTCAGTGGGATCTGGAAGAACTCACACTGCACCTGGTGGGTATATTCAGATTCTCGTTGGCTCTGAGGTATATCCCCAAAAAATGGAGAGAGGTTAAAGTGGTATTTATATCCAAACCTGGAAGGATGGATTACATTGTCCCAAAAACATACCGGCCAATTTGTCCGACATCGTTTTCCATGAAGATAGTGAAAATACTATGCGAAAGGTACATAAGGGATGCGGTAATTACAAGAACACCACTACACCCAAACCAACATGCATACACCCCAGGCGGATCTACTGATTCAGCCCTTCGTCTAGTTGCTGGCCGGATAGAAAGATCCCTGGACAATAAGGAGTCCGCCTTGGGTGTTTCCATAGATAAAACTACTTTCCCAAAGATAATACACTCACTAACCAATAGGAATGTTCCACAAATGGTTAGTGGGTGAATACATAACATGCTCTCAAAACGAGCAGTAAACATAAGTGTAAAAGATGTCAATATAAGAGGATTGGTTGCGAGGGGATGTCCACAGGGAGGGGTGCTATCACCTCTACCACCGTACATAAACAACGAATAGTAAATCCACTCTCCCAGTCGCCTTTGAAGTTTTTTGCACACAAGCTTGCCGCCGTTTTTGTCTCTTCACACACATTCCCGGGCAAACAGGTGTATTAAGAAGCAGCGAGCGCAGGCTGATTGCATGCTCTTTCGACTGGCGGCGTTGGACCGGTCTGTACAGAGAGTGGATTTACTATTCTTTGTTTATGTACGGTGCCTTTACTGTAAAATATGGTCCTCGACACCCTCATCAACCGCCTCAATAATGACAGTCACTACATAATAGCATATGCAGATGACCTGGTTATTCTGCAAACAGGGAATTTTGAGAACATACTCTGCGAAAGAATGCAAGTAGCTCTAAAAATTATAGAACAGTGGTGCAAGGACCATTCACTGTCTATCAATCCTAAGAAAACAGAAATGGTCCTTAAAGGATGAAAATGGAATTAAAACCTTCAGAACTGCTAAACACAAAACTAAACTTTGCAACAGAGGTGAAGTACCTAGGTCTCACCTTTGACAGCAAGTTGACATGGAACTCGCATTTAGAAAACATAGTCAAAAGAGCATAATACATTGCTTATGAACAATGCCGCCGAACCGTGGGGCGCACCTTAAGTTTCTCCCCCAGAGTCGTCGCATGGACTTACACGGCTATCATAAGACCTATGCTAACATACGGTGCAGTTGTCTGGGTACCGAAAACCCAAAAATTAACAGTTATCCGTAAATTAGAACAAATTCAAAGAACAGCATGTCTCAACATAACAGGAGCCATAAAAACAACACCGACCAGAGCCAAGGAAGTCATTCTTAGTCTGACTCCCCTTGATATCATGGGGCTGTCAGAATCCGCAGTCTGCAGAGGGTGCGAACAAGAAGATGAGGCCATCAAGCATATCCTTTACGATTGCTCGATGCTCTCATGTATTAGAAGATTTGTGTTTGGCCAGTATCGGCTAACACCGTCCGATATAAAAGAAGCACCTCTTGGCGACGTTGTCAACTACAATAAATCTGTAGGCTGGCTCACGAGCTAGGAGGTGCCTATCATCTTAGGGGCATGCACAATGGGCCTAATGAGGCCTAAGTGCCGTGGAGGTAACCCACCCTCTACACGTTACAGATACAGATGCTTAATTGAAATTTTATTATTATAGAAATTCATTTTTCAATAATAGTGAACTTTATTGCATTATTCATTATTCAATAACGTCACATATGGGGCTGCCAGATGGATATGCTCCATTTGGTTTTCCGAAATGTCGATACATCCCTGACTCGAGTTAGTGACCGTTCATTTGGCCAGATTTACACTTTTAAATAGTACCACGTATTGATGGTGAAAAGAGCTAAGCCACACTTACTAATTGGAGAAAATGGGTTAATAAGTTTGAAACTTTTAAGTTTAAACAACTTTTCATTTAAATATAAGTAATTGGTGGGTGGGGTTTTCCTCACCTGTAAGTCAAATGGATCATCTTTAAGTCGCCCTGGAGCGCCATGGAAAATAATAATAATAGCTGTCCCTTTCCCGGATAAGCTCAGCTTTTGGGGTTAAAATTCACTCGTAAGGGGGTAAATTATGGAGAGTATTATATAATAAAATTTGGTACAAACAAAAACATGTCCTCTATCTTGTGATTAATTTTAAAAAACAAACAGTAATGTATGTCGCTTAAATATGTTTTATCCCTTAAAGAAATATGTATTTTCACTTAGATTCTTTTACAGTTTGTCGGATTTTAAGGTTTTAATTACAAAATCGTTTATCTCTTTTCACCACTGCATTTTTCGTAGTTCTTTTTATAGATGTAATACCGTTAATTTATTTTACCTAAAAATATGGCTTAGCTCTTTTCACCACCAATTCGATATTAGTTCATGTTACTAAAGAGTCACTAATTATCTCCCAATCTTCGCTACGTAGGTAGTTCTGAACATAAGGGAGTAGCAAATATTCTAGTCAGTAAACAAATAGAAAACAAAATTTAATGCAAACTTACCTCCTCCAACGTATTTTTCCAATTTGTAGATTGGCAATCCCTCGCATTCGTTGGCAATGTATCCTCCGATGCTCTTGGTATCACTAATTGGAGGAATGATTACACGCATGTTTCTTCTTACTAGATCTGTATTAACTTTGTAGTATCTAAAAAATAAAAACGCAATAAATAAAGTATAACTACTATTTTGTAGACTTAAATGAAGCCTACGACATTATCCTCTAGGGCTACAATGTGAATCAACATAAATTTAATAAAAGCAGTTAAAAATCTTTATGACCTGCATGATGTAATAAAATTAGAAAGCAATATCTCGGGGACAGGTGCAACAAAAAGCTTGCTGTCTTTTCCTTAAAACTTGGAACAGAAATAGAGAATTTCCCAAAATAACAACAAATTTATTTAGAAATATAACCACGTGATAATGAAACGAAACCATGACGATTTCAAAGACAAATAAGCCTTATAGGCCATCATTAGTTATTATCCACAATTTAAAATATAATTAAGCATAAAAGTCGTATCTGACAATGCGACTAATAATGCAAAATATTTCATATGCGGCATGTGTTTAAAAATACTGCCGAGTTTGTAGATAAGACAATTATTTTTGAATGTAAAACATGCATTTCGGCTGCAGATAAGACTATACATCAAAAATATGACGCGCTATAGTCGAACGTGTTTACAAAATAAATATTACTTCCAATATAGCCAAAAAATGCAAATAAGACTTATGTTTTTTTCAGTTCCATTATGCACACCTCGTCATTATTTTCAGCTGTAAGACAGTTAATTTGTAACGACGAATAATAAGTATTTGTCATATTAATTTTGAAGATTTGGTTACTGTAGGTAGAAGCGATAATGAATTCTGGCTCCATATTACTTCCAAGTCAAATGATCTTTAAGATCTACCCGACTTAGCACCAGGTCATTTACTTATTGGAAAGCATCTTTCCTCAATTCCTCAAGACACTATATCATATCCACTACTCTAATCAATCGACCAGTGGCGGCTGGTGGATAAGTGCTGCAGTGCTACAGATCTCCCAGAAAAAATGCTAAATACATAATCTAACTCAAATATTTCCTATTACCAAAAAGAAAATGTATATTATTATATTCGCATTGTAATGATTAAAAAAATAAAAAAAAACTGCTGGCGAAGCGCCGGCATCGGTGGCGTCCGTGTACGTAAAGTCGACCAGTTGAATAACCTATCTACCTCCCTACCGACACACACGCTTGCGCATGCTGTCGCTGAACTATTATTATTTATCTGGGCCACATGATGGAGCTCTGTGCGCTCTTTCAAACACCTGCGCGGCACTCTGCTACCCCCGCGCCCACGGTTAAAACAAACCGGTCATTTAAGTGGAGAGTTCGCTGCAATTAGTCCAGCGCAACTCGTAATACGTACGGTGATTTTTTTCGCGACTTTTGAGTTTACGGCGAGTTAAAGTTAAAAACAATAATTTTAAGGGTGCGTGTATTTTGTTTTTGTGTATTGCTGACAATTATCTGTGTACTATGGAAGTGGTTTTCAATTTAATTAATGTAAAGAAATTATGTAAATATACATAGGAAGAAAAGATGGAATTAAAAGCAAAAGGTAGACCATTACCAGATATAATTATAGAAAAAACTGGTGTAAGTATAGGAAAAAGTTAAACACGAAAATTTAATAAAAATACTCATTCGAAAAACGAATGGATCTGTGCATGCAACAAAAAAATGCTCTTTACTGTTTTCCCTGTTTACTTTTTGATGGCGATAAAGCTTGGACGGACATAAGGGTCACCGATATAGAACACTTAAGTTTAAAGATAAAAAATTACAAAAACTATAAAAGCCATCTTCATAATTGCATGGAATTTGCGTTGCTAGGGACAACTAATATTATGGCCCAATTAGATTCTGCTTATTGGTTAAATATACAGAGACATAATGAAAATGTGTCAATTAATAGGTATATTTTATCCAAAATTATTAATTGCATTAAGTTTTGTGGGGCTTTTCAACTGGCTCCTCGGGGACATGATGAAAGCAATTCTTCCGAGAATCCGGAGATATTTCGTGGACTCATAAATTTCTCGGCTGAATTAGATGCAACTCTAAGTGACCACTTAAAAAATTCTTCGGTATTTAAAGGCACCTCTAAAGAAATACAGAACGAACTGTTGCAGTGCATGCTCGATGTCTGTCATGAAGAAATAATATGAGGAAATTAATAATTCTCGATTTTTGGCGATCATGGCGAACGAAACAACGGATGTTGTTGCAAAAACTCAACTGGTAGTTATATTTAGATATGTTCGCAATGGTGAGCCAATTAAACGTTTTTGAAACTACTTAATTCCTGAAAATGTGATGCAGAAACACTTGGTAAAACAAACTGTTATAGGTCTTTTAATTCAAAATTCACCAAACAAACTGATTATACAAAGTTATGATGGAGCTGCGGTAATGAGCGGCCAATACGCAGTAGTTCAATTATTAATTAAAAAAAAGTATCCTTTTACTCACTATGTACATTGCTATGCCCACCAGTTAAATTTAATTATGTCTAAAGCTGCTTCTGCAAATTCGCAAGTACGTGTATTTTTTGGAAATTTACAAGACATTCCAGGCTTTTTTAATAATTCACCCCCAGCGAGTAGAAGTCTTAAACAAGATTGTGAAGAGAAGGATCCCTCACGCCGCCACAACCCGTTGGAATTTTAATATAAGGACCATTAATGCTGTGTACGAAAATAGAGCGTCTCTTATTGAGTGTATGCATGATATAGAAGAACAATTCACCAACAACACAGTCTGTAGTGCAGCCGCCTCTATTCGCCGTACATTAAATGATCCAATCTTCAATTTTTGGCTGACTTTTTTTCATCATGTGATGCCCCACGTAGACATCCTATTCAACCAACTACAGCAAAGAAAAATTGAACCCACTCTAGTAAAAGACGCTATCAATAATTTTGAATGCAGTATCACTCAAGTTCGAAATAATATTGATAGCATCATTACTGAAGCATCAGATATAATAAGCGATCAGCCACCAGAAAATAAACGCAAGCGCCCAGGTAACAGCAGGTTTGATCACCGGTTTTCTGCTTTAGAGGTGTGTGACGTTATCCTAAATTGTGCAAAAGATAGATTTGATTTTAAAGAGTATCTAGTAGTTGCCTCACTTTTCTTTTTGGAATGCTTTGGAGAGTATTGTGGTAAATTTCTTGAGGATAAACTCACTGTCTATTATTTATTTAAGAAATGATTGCAGGACATTGAATGGCGCACTAACTCTACTAAAATTTTTAATATCAAACAATCTAGGAGATACATTAAAGGGGACTGGAAAATGATTAGAAATTGTGGTAACAACTCCTATGACAACATCAGAGACCGAACGTTGTTTCTCTACACTAAATCGAATTAAAACGTTTCTCAGAAATTCAATGACCGAATATCGTTTAACGGCTCTTTCCATGCTATCTATTGAAAAAAAGTGTACTTCCGAAATAGACAATTTCAATGAAAAAAATATTACAAAATTTGCGAACCGAAAAAAAAACGTAGGATAGACTTAATTTATAAAAGATAGACTGTAAAATCGCAGTCTGTTTAAATTGTTCATGTCATTTTTTTAAACATTTTGTATGATGCTTGAAGAAAATAAAGTACAGTAAAATAGTGCCTGGTGATTCTTTTTTTTTTTGTGTGACAATCGTTCCAGCAATCAATAATTCAGCAAGCTAGATGAAATCGATGGAACTTTGACTAAGAAGCCAACCCCTCTGAAAGATAAGCTTTTTTGCAAAAATTGCAGAACAACCTAAAATTTTTACCACGAGCCGCCGCTGCAATCGACTCAAACATTATGAACAACTGCAACACTTTTGGCAACGCTGGACCCAACAATATTTGTCCATCATGCAACAACGCACCAAGTTGGAAGGAAAATTCGTTCTTGCTATCAATATCGAAGATTCAGTAGTGCTCCCAGTCTTGGCGATTAGGCCGCATAACTTCATCTTAGACCAGACGGTTTACCTAGAATGGCTATAATACGGACTTCGACGGGTTTAGTGAAGCGAGTGATCGAAAAACTGTGTCGGATTACCTATGGAAGATATTACAGCAAGCTAGTAAATACTGCTATATTGAAACAGTGTTTTAAGGTCGACAAGCTCGGTTTCGTAATTTTCACGTCGAAGACATTTAATTTTTAACGGCCTTTCTGCCCTCAAAGGAACACACGTGACTTAATAACATTAGTGTAAAGTGTTTTGGATTATTTGATCTCTCTTTTGTTTTTACTTGATTTTTTAATAATTGAATATAGATTTTAATAAACACTTATCACAATCAAATCATATAAACATGCTTAGATGGTGAGAATAAAATATAAAAATTAATAATAATGACAACAATAATATCTACAATTCGCGAGCTCAAGGCATGATTTGGCATAATCATGCGTTATCTATTGCCACTGCCGGTGATAAGAAATTATGATTCATATTTAAAAGCAAACCAGACTGCTCGCGAAAATCAAAAAGATTGTGAAGATTTTCTAATATAAAAGTGTATTTACATGCACGTCACTGGGTATAAAAGCAAACCAGACTGCTCGCGAAAATCAAAAAGATTGTGAAGATTTTCTAATATAAAAGTGTATTTATATGCACGTCACTGGGTATAATTCGCGATGTTATCTCGAGAATATTGAGAGCTTTAAATTTGTACAACGATAAGACAGCACTCTGCAGAGACATTTAAGAACAAAAGGTGGGAAACCCTTTCTTTTAAAAACTACTATATATTCATTAAAACACAAAGCTGCAAATTTTCATAGATTTAATACAAAATGGGGCGTAATTTTTTTTTAATACCTTTTAAACATTATCAAAATAAATACTTTTCGAAGAATTCCAAAAAAAATTAAGGTTTTCACTTTAAGCTTTATTATTGGTATTCCGAAAAAATCGGACTAAAATAAAGGCTAAGAAGGAATTAGAAATTTTTAAGTTGTTCGGTTTGCTCTTAATTTCCCTAGGCTATAAAAGTCCGAAATAAGACCTAACCTCAAATATTGATCGTACATTTGGAGAGTCGCAGCAACTACAATGCGCGTCACAGAAAAGGG